GAAAAATATGCAAAATGAAATTTTTCATGTTGAATTCGCTATTCAATAGTGTCTCCTGTTCGTCTCATCTCAATCGGGAAAACATCAAACATATCCAACTACTGTTCATGGAAAACTGCTTTGCTCTGATGATGCAGCTTATATTGAGGTGCACTTTCCAAACACGTATGGAGGGACTTTCCTGCTTCGGTATATGAAGGGCTGATACAGATCATTCAACAACTCAATCATTGAATAGAATTGTAATTTCAATCATGAATCGTCACAAAGTAAAAGAAATCCGAATAAGTAATTTTTGCATGGATCAACTAGTACATGATATCGGTGTTCAGGAGAGACATGTTCGTTACCTTATTTTACCGTTGTCGTAACACCTGTTCTAATTTCATAGGTTGTTATTACAGCTTGTTCATCTATTCTCCACCTTTTACATAGTCGTCAAATGGACAGATACCTTTCCCATTTCATTTATGGATTTTTATTCACTGCCATTCTTATCACTATTACTTAATTTGTAATTGATAAGTCAAATTGTCTGATTGTTTTTCACAACTTTGCCAAATAGAAGGAGAGATTACTTCCTATTTCACTATAGAAAACTCTGTATAAAATCTTCCTTTAAATATGATTGTACAGCTCAAGTAAAGAATACCTTCGAAAAGAAGAATATTTTACCACTCCGTCGCCTTCATTTTTATAGCTTACGTCATGGGATTATCTTAGATAAACACTGAGAAGAAGAAATTATTGGAAAGTTGTTTTTTGCTAATACTTGACTCCTTGGCAGTGCGCATCCACGACCCCTTTGGAAATCTCAACATTTTTTTATAGTGAGAAACACTATATTCTTCCTAGTGGCTAACTCTGAAACATAATTCTTGGAGTTCTAACCAGACTTTCTACCGTTCAGTTCAACTTTGTCAGAACTGAAATTTATCACTCACAGTTATTGATGACGATCACAAATATTGCCAATCGGTCTACTATGAGACCTAACTGTTCTCGGTTCTATCATCACTTTAGTCGTGAGTGCACACACATGAGAAGTCCAATATTAGGAAGATAAACTGTATTATTCCTCTTGGTCTTCAGTGGCTGTCCGATTAAGACCAGTCCAACATACAAACCATGAGTAAAATACGTTTCATTTACTGAGTTCATTATTTTATTTCAAGCATATTCTATTGTTGTTTGCCTCGAACAATTTATGATCTGAGAACTTTTCAGTCTTCTTATTTCCTTCCAAACGGTAACACAGTTGTTATAAGAAAGTAATACGGTTTTTTTCTTATCTATCTTTTAACTTTTCATCGTACACGTATCATCCATTCATTATCAACCTCACATCAACTCGTTTATAAAAGACTACTTATAAATTGGAATATCTCTATTAGAAATATTTAACTAAATCAAATTCATCATCATATATTGTTGTAATCAGAGAGGGGTTTTGTGGATATTATAGCAATTTAATAGTTGAATTTATGAGTCAATTGAAGCTAGACCATAACAGAAAACCTAGAAGCACTGAACGGCCGTTTTGTGCTATTATGCCGCAATTTTGTGGATTGGTTGAAGTTAAACATTAACACCGTTGGATGCCGGCTGGCTCAGTGGTCTAGTGGTTAAGCGTTCACGCGCGAGACTGATAGGTCCTGGGTTCGAGTCTCACATGGCGGGATCGTTGATGCGCACTGCCGAGGAGTCTCACAGTATGACGAAACGTCCATCCAGTCCTTTCAGGTTTTCCATGGTGGTCTAGCTTCAATTGACTCATATATTATTGTATCTCAAGTGATTAAGTTATCTTTAAAATACATCAAAATTCTCTCATCATCAAATTAATGAGACTCAAAATCTATTTCATATTCTTTTATGTACATTTTCCAATATGTAAAGATATTTTATGTTTTACAATTATCTTATTATTTTTTATTTAATTATTCAATAAAAACTATAAGCAGAATGAACGTTTTATTGTTAACTGTTTCTAAACAAGCTTGAAGTAAATTACGAGAATTACTGGGGGAATAAAATCACTAAGTAGAATCCTGCTGGCACTGGGTAATAATTACTTGCTTCTTACTTACGCTTTTTACCTCTTTTGGAGAAGCATAATCCGCCCATTAGAGAATAATGTTTATTCAAAAAAACTTTCATACGGGTCGGAAACGAGTTAACGGAGTTATTTTATAGCATATATTTTTTTAAAAAGTCTAGTAACCATGTAGAAAACAGCAAGAATCAATCAATATTTATTTATCTCATCAGTAAAAAGTTAACTGTCATTTAAATTATAGAATATCAATATGTTTGGGATTATTTCATTATAATAGGTCGAACCATGTAATCCATGTTATTGGTATAAAACTGAAAGGAATGTTTACTATCTGTATAATTCATTAATACATGATCTATGTCGAACAAATTAAGATAATCTATAAGAATGTAATCTCATCTTATTAATTAAATAATGGACAAAACGTTATCTGAGAATAATTCACATTATGATGTCTTGGTATTATAATATGATTTTTGCATTAGTGTAAACAACATTACTGATACATAGTTCAATTTTCTTACAATAATACAAAAAGTGTAACGAAAGCATTAAAAAAACACATTCTGATACAAACAAACTCGATAATACTAGGTCAACTATATGTTTTGATAATGTTTTCATTCGCTTTGTTTTTATCATTATAGGATAATGACAGAATCTAAATGGAAATATAGTATGAACCAGAAACAATCAATCTATTCAATATAATATTAGTAATATGACTTGTTGGATATTCATTACTGTTGAACGGTAATAAGAACTGCAGATTCATACATTCATATATTTTCTCATTAATATCTCAACATATAATTTTACTAAAGTATTATAAACTTATTTTGACTCAGAAAAATATTAATTCGTAACAGAAGGGGTTTTGTAGATCATAAAATAATTTTAATAGTTGAGATCATGAGTCATTTGAAGCTATATCACCATAGAAAATCTGGAAACATTGGACAGCCGTTTTGTCCTATTGTGAGACTCCTCAACAGTGCGCAGTGGATGTGTCGCTTAATTTCGTGGATTGGTTAAAGTTAGACATTAACACCGTCGGATGCCGGCCGGCTCAGTGGTGTAGAGGTTAAGCGTTAATGTGTGAGACCGATATATTCTGAATACGAATCTCACGAATCGAGATCGTGGATGTGCACTACTGAGGAGTTCCATACTAGGACGAGACGGTCATCCAGTGCTTCCAGGTTCTCCATGATTTTTTGACTCATGAATTCAACTATTAAATTACTACAATATCCACAAAATCCCTTTTTGATTATAATTATAGATTACTTATGTTGAGCAATTATCTTTTACAAATAGATTATCGCCTGATATATTTTGTAGGCCGTAATATAGATAGTTTATTATCTATCTCTTAGATTGTGACGCAATAGGTTTGTAATTTATTAAAGTCACGTAAAAATCCAGACTATTTACCTAGTTTATCCAAGAACTCATATTTACCTATAATTGTAGAATTTAGGACTGAGAGATTATATGTGAATTAACTACTACATAATGAGTGACTTATTTGTTAAATATGTAAAAGTAAGAACCGTTAATGGTTATCATAAATTAATAATTTACGAAATATCTCATTTATTATTTAACCTAATACTTATTACATTCTGAAACGAAGTAAACACGAATTCTATGATTTTACATGATATCCGAAAGTGTCCTGTTATCTATATCTAATATTGTGAGATGTTGAGAAGAGAACATTTGTATCCTGAAGTATGTTGACAGTGTAGAACACTAATAGAAAACGTTTCCTTTGAAGGTCAGAACATTAATAAATTTACTTTGTTGATAGGACATATTAGTGGATATTTAAACATGATTCCCTCCGAAAAGTTCAAGCTTATAAGGTTTACAAGTAGTAAACCACAAACAACGATATATTTTCAGTGATGAATTAGTTTGAATGATTTCTTCTTCACAGATACTTTATTACGGTATATTTGTATTGAAAATCAGTTTCACATCTCTAATAAGTAGAAATAAGTAAAATTTAGTGTTTTGACACTTCTAACGTGCAGACTGAACTATCAACATATAATAGTGGAGTAGAGAATTATGTAAACTCTGATTTACTCATCACTGTCGAGAACATCGAGCGAATTTGACCTCCAACTTCAGAACGCAAGATGAATTACATCTAGAGCTTATGTATTACAATGGTTTGATATATTTTAAGTTTATATAAATCAATCAATGATTATAGTAGTAACTTATGAATCTCATCAGTATACCGGATAAAAATACATACTGAAATGTATTCGTGGATAAAAATGGGGAGCTTAAAGTAAAGTTTGAACTGAAAATAACGTATTTCATTTCTATAGCTCTCAGGTTTAATCTAGCATAGTATTTAAGGCTTAGGAAAACTAAACCTGCTAAAGTTACTACATTCTGTCGCCCGTAGAAATCGATTCGAAACCGTATGTCATTGATTATTAAAGTAACTACCTTCTAAAATCGAATATGAAACTTTTCAGATTCTTTTAATGTTATTCAACTTAACATTAAAAACAGAATAATTTTGAAAATGATTGTATACCTGACGTTCGTTGGTAATGTTTCCCTCGATGTTTTACGAAGTGTTTTGTCTCCGAATGGAGATGTTACTCATCATAACTGAATACAATTTAGGTAATTATTCTTTTAGAGATACGGCATATTTATAAAGATAAAAAATTAGCATCTTATTTCACTTCTCAAAACGCCATTTCTAATGAGACAAGGTTGCTTAAAGCTAAAATCTCTGCCGAATAACTTATAAGTACGATAGTTGAGGTAGGCCCAGAAGGTTAGATTATGGCTTACCAAGTTCACAAAATGCAGTAATATTTCATAAGATTTAATCCATGGTAATAATTTTAATAAACGAGTAACTTGAAACTTCTAAGTAAATTAATTATAAAATCCGAATACTGTCCAAATTTACAAGCTATATTTAAAAAAAACACAGTTAAGTAACGAATCATTTAATTTTTCATTAAATTATAATGTTAGGCTGATGTCTGATTCTCAATACAGTCATTGTCAACATCGACAAATCTTTCAGAATATAAATAAACAGGTCCAAGATGTGCGATAGTTGCACCAGATTTAGAGTCTGGACAAATAAAGGTAACTCCAGCTGGCCATTTAGATGGTGGATACAAATCTGTCACTTCATAATTTTCCTCATATGAATCACCCTCATAACCTGTTCTATAATATAACTTTGCTGATTCATCGTCTGCATGAAATATTGGCGTAAGTATAGGTTCAACGTAAGCGTCCGCTTTGTAAATCGCTGAAGCATAACGATTATTATTATTATTATTAATATTATCATTATCATCATCATCATCATCATAGTCATCTTCATAGGTTACGTCATTAAAATCACCGTTTATTCCATTATAGTGTTTCACTGGATCACTACCTTCTGTATCACTTGATTCAATTTTACTATTCATATTTTCATTAGATCCTTTTTCATTTTTTAAAATTGATGATATAATACTAGTTACTGAATCATTTTGTGAATATTGTGACACCATTTTATGTACATCATTTTCATTTTCTATTAATTCATTTTGATATAAACGATTTTCTAATTGACTTTGTAATTCATTATCAATATCATTAGATTGTGTCCATACAATTGAACCAAGTGATCCATGATTAAATCTTTTATTATCATATAATGATGACATAGATAATGTACCAATTGGATTTAATTCAATTAATTTTCTTTCACTATTTTCACATGCTTGAACAAGTAATCTACACAAAGTTTTAAAATCATCATCATCTTTAATTTTTGTACATTCATAAGCACGTATTTGTTGATTTTTACTAATAATACCTAATACAAGAATATTTTTGGTACCTTCTGATATATAAATTATTTCAATTTGTTCATAACCTAAATATAAACGTTTATATGAATTTGTTGGTTTTTTATAAGCTTTTATTCTTAAACCATTTTCTGTTAAATAAATCATACGTTCTTGAGATTGAATAGTTTGTTTTTTATTAATTAATTTCTTCATATATTCTTTATTAAATTCTTCATTTGGTTTTAATGTACGTTGTATAAATAATTTTCCAGGACATTTAAAATAAATTAATTCATGAATATCATAATTGGTTTCTTTGAATGATGGTACCGAATTACTTAATGCATTCTTTTGAATTGATTTACGTGACATGATAATATATATTGACTTTCTTTGATAGGCACAGAATCAGAAGGTAACAAAAAGATGAATAGAATTGATATTACAGTATTTATATATATATATAAATGTAATCACTGAGTATAATATTGTTGCTAATACAAGTAAATATAGAGTTGATTTGACTAAATATCAATAATGTAACCAATGATTACACTTCAAGAAGTTCAATAGAATATATGTAACATATATGTCATAGAATTTATATTTTTTAAAACCAAACGTAGTAATTAATTAGGTAGAAATTCCTTCACCTTTCAGTGAATTAAAGTAAATAAACATAAGGAAGTGATGTTAAATTCACCGATATTGAAATAAATCCTATCACTTTTAGTTTAGTTTTGTTTTTTAATTTTTATTTTTTTGATAAATTTTACTGTCTGTCAGTTCATCCAAAAATCATTTCTGTACATAGTTTCACGTATGTATGTATATATACTTGGAATAATGTATATTAGTGCATAGAAACAGATTGAACATTAATTACATACACTAAAGTAAGTGACTCATATAAATAGTAAATTGAATGAAGCCAAAAGTTTATACATCTCAATAACTTTGAACCAATTACTATGCATTCTACATAATCTAATAGAATAACATGAAATTTGGTCATTGTGTTCAGATTTGACCTGTAATTGAATCGATTAATTCATTCAGTATATTGTGGTTTCATAATTTCACTATTGTACATTTTAATGTTCAAAAATCAATAGGTAACACAAAATATAATGAAACAAAATAAGAGCTATAATGTAATAGACAATGTGGGTAATCAATAATTCATCCGCTCTATGTTTGAATTGAGTAAATAAATCTAACTATAACAATGTAGACTGTTTGTTCATTCATGTGATGCTCAAATTTGAATAAAAAAATGTTTTTGGACATGTAGCACATTCAGTAATTGAATAATGCATAATACATTTTAAAATAGTCAGAAATTGTTTTTTAAAAAAAGTTAGATTCATCTCATTATGATAAATAAAGAAGTGAAACTCAAGGTTAAATTAAAAAGCTTTATATATTCAATATACTGACTACTTATCATGAAATGGTGTATTCAAAAGTGATATTCTGGTTACAGAACTATTGAGAAATTAAGACCTTAGATGATTATTGGACGCTTAAACAATTAGCTCACTTCAAAATATCATTTTCTGTAAGGTCTTCATTGCCCAAAGGAAGAGTAAAGGTTTCTTTGAATACTCATATTGAGAATTACATTACGAAACGTAGTCTTTATATTAGAAGACTCTTGGCCAAGACCAAATAGACAACAATAAATATTCTTCTCACACTTAGTTCATTTCACTTTTCACGCTCTTTGTATATCAATATTAATACTTATATACAAACTAATTACTCGAACATTTAGTTATTTTAATATCACGCAACTATTTCGACTATTATTTTGTTATTCATTTTAACAATGATCTGGTGTCTAGCCCAATAATATAAGTAAAATTCATGTTAATCAAGTTACATTGGTTGTTTGAATCTTTCCATTGACAAATAAGACTGGAGTTATTGAATAAATTTTTCGGCATTTGTGCATGCTCTGCATATTCCTTAGATCTTGTCACTAATCCACAAGAATTATAAACAGAGATGGATGGCGGCTAGGAGTGGAGTCCAGGACGCGCGTTTCGTCTTATTTGGTACTCGCCAACTGGATGTGCTAACATCCGTCTCTGGTTACAATGCTTGTAACAGTGGGTAACACCGATACAATCCACACAGAATGTATACATGCCAAAAAAAGACTGAACAACTCCAGTCCAAAAAATCAATGGCAATACGTGATGGCATATCAAAAGGAGCCGTTCTGGGTTCAGGCCTCATGATGAACTGTTACTTTGGGATGTGTGTAGTCCCAAAATAGGGCTAAACTTTCGTTTTCGATTCTACTGATAGGCACCATGTATCTTTATTATAAAATTCATGTTTATTGTTTTAAGTGCTACATAATACTGAAACTTTAAGTTAACACTTTGATTTTTTCGTTACTTGGTTGTTTGATAATATGAAAATATTTTCAGAGAAACGTTGTTCATCGATAACTTTTTGATCAAAACACTTACATCCAACTTAACGATCAAAGTTATATTCTAGTGTTGTAGTTCGAATACGAATAAAGATACTTTGTTCTACCAACATTTATAACTTTAAGGATAAAATTTGTATTAACAAAATTTGACTTAAAATCATCAAAAATAATGATTGGATTGTATGGAAAATGCGGACGTAAATAAATATAATTTAATGGATGAAATATGAATCTTATCTAACTGGCTTCAAGAGGTATTCCCTGGAGTTATAGTGAGAAACAGTGATCAGTGGAGTTCAACCAAGTCTGTTATGAGATAGTAACTCACTGATGACAATAGTGGATGTGTCACTCAATTTCGTGGATTAGTTGAAGTTAGACATTAACACTGTTGGATTGCAACCTGCTCAGTGGTTTAGATGTTAAGCGTTTGCGCGCGAGACTGATAGGTCCTGAGTTCGAATCTCACGAGGTGGGATCGTGGATGTGCATTGCTAAGGTGTCTCACAATAGAACGAGACGGCTGTTCAGTGCTTCCATCTTTTCCATGGTGGTCTACCTTCAAATGACTCATGGTCCCAACTATTGAAATTCTTATTTAACTGATTATTTTACTGTAACTTAACTGAGACTAGATAAGTTAGACTTATAATATACAACATCATGTAGTTGAACTTCTGTATTAGTCTACTTAATCTACGAATCTTTCCCAGCTAATCTGTATAAATCTACCTAGTATATCGTAAACCTTGTAACTTTTAAGAAGATAAACAGAGCACAGTATCGTAATGGATATTGTTGGCAGTATTTTCAACATTTCTAATATTTTGTTTCATGGTCAAAAACGAAAAAATGGAAGAGAAATTTACAAAGTTTAATTTTTCTACTGATTGTTCTATGTCTAACGACAGGAATGAATGGATTCTTTTGATGTGAAATTTCATGTTTCCTTTCTTGTTTTTTCTGCGATATCTCTATTAATCGCGGAACAGATAAAGGCCGTAACGTCTAGTCTGTAAATTTCTCAATTCATCTACTCAAATATGTTTTTAAAACTACAAAAAAATGAGTTTTTTGATTAGTCTCTGGTATTTCAATATGACTGGTAAATAAATAGAGAACACGTTGCTAACTAGAATATATTAATGTTTATAAATCAAGATACAATTACTTATCTCTATGTGTCCTGTTTTCTTTTTGTAAAACCCAATGCAGTTTGCTCTTAGTTAGCCATCAACACAATAATAAATTAATATTTTATTAAATACAAACTTCAGGAGAAATCATGAGAAATGTTTCTGTTACTGCAATTAAAGTTAAGCTCATATGTTCACTCTTTAGTAAAGTGAATTTATGGATAAATCACGTGCTGATCTTAACTAGACCGCAATTATAAAGATGCAAGAAATAGACCAAAAGCAACCTATAATTATGTTATTTTTCCTGACTGTCAAATAATAAGAAGTTTGTTTATCGTCTAGTCGATTTTGTCCAATCTCATCAATAACAATAGTCCGTTTATAATTGAAATATGTTTAACAGTTTACTCAATACTGAATTGTATATCCTTCTTGATTATTGAAAGATTAAGGACATCAAATATTCAGAAGAAGGAAAGTTAATCATCCTATGATATCGCTGACATTTAACACATAGGTTAATTAATCTGAATGGCATATATATATCTCTGATACTGTAATTATGTTTTTGGTAAATGTTACAACAATTTGAATTTTGTTAAGTCTAAGAAAATTCTTATCCAACTTATTATTAAACGATTTATTTTTAATTTCATATGCTTGAAGAAAAGTATAACCAGGACTTTGTAATTTCAGCCAAAAATGTATTCCCTAGTGTTAACTTGAAAGCTCACCTATGATATTCTTATCTTCATACAAAAACGACAGTGAAATTAAACAAATCTCAAAGTTAAATTATCTTTCAGTAAATTTATTGTGTAAGATGAGTGAATCCTCATAACACTCTCAACAGTACCTAGTCGTAATTCCTGTCTACGTTCACATTCAGAGTAGTGATAATAGATAAAATTTATCTAATCTTAGTTCCAACCTTTGAGACTTTGGGTACAAACATTCTACTAAAACAATTAGATATTACTTTGACATATGACAAAATTTATCAGAAGAACCATTGAATTCAATAATTTGAAAAAAGCCACCATTACTTTTAGTCCGGATCCTTTGGATAGTAATGAGTTTTCGCTAAAATGACAATAATTTCTAAAAGAAAGCAGTAATGGAATTCATTCAACAAAATAGTTATTTACTGTTCTGTTATAAGAATGCTTACACTTCATCAAACTCATTCATTTCTCTTGAATTGATATGCCAAAGTTTTAACAAAAAGGAAATTTCCTTCTTTGATAAAATTCTCATGAAAGTTTTGTTATTTTCTGAGTTGGATACTTACAGAGAGACTAAACAAGAAATGTCATCTCATTAAATGAACAGTCATAATGAAATAATAACTCTATCTTTAAATATGACACTTTTTAGTTAATATAATTTTGATTGAGCACATGATCACTAACAGAATAAAAATTATGTTAACTCATTTGCAAATAGCATATATACTAACATAATAATATGAACATTTTTTGATTGAAATCATGAGTCAATTCAAGCTAAACCACCATGGAAAACCTGGAAGCACTGGATGGCCGTTTCGTTCTAGTATGGGACTCCTCAGCACTGCTGAGGAGTGCTGATTATCAGAAGACTATCATTTAAGCGAAGAACAATCAGATACAGAATGACCTTATAACACCAGCTAACTAATTACAAATGCAACCATAACTTTTCTGTTCCAAAGTTAAAATAAATCAAGGAGGGGTTATAATAGATAACGTGCTACAATGTTACAAATTGTTTACGAATTGTACAGGTTCTTTTAAAATGTCTAACACTTAGGCATTTTTGTTCAAATAAATGTCCGTATTGTGTATATTGATGTTTAAAGAATCTTTGAATTAAAGTTCTTCAAACGGCTGAAACAGTAGACATCAGGATGATGAAACCTGAGGTATGAGTACAAAAGAAATATCTTCAACAGCTTCTCCTCCCCTGGCCAATCTCAATGCCATTAATCAATACTTATCTGCGCTATTGAATGACGTAATTGGACTATTATACCTACAAATTAAAAGCACGAAATTCAGTGAAGGGCTCTCTTTTCAACA